TGGTGGGAGCTGCACTTCACAAGTGGGTCTGTCTATAGATGAGTAGATGTAAAGTGATTTGGGATAAAAGCTCTATATAAATGCAAGCAATTAATTATGATTCTAAATTAATTTTAACTATATAACTACATTTACAAATTTACCATTGACAAATGGCAAGTATTATTGAAAATATACAATATCATATTCCACTTCACTTACAGTAGTATTACTCTATTATTCCTATCAGTTTCATGCCTGGGCACAATCATGCTTTTACTGACAGAACTGTAATTTTCCTTTTAAAAAAGGTCTTATATCAGAGATCTTAACTCATTCTCATTATTGTAGTCTGTTCCTGAACATTTTCATTTTAATTAAATATAGAATTAAAATAACTAAATTTTAAAAATCCATTTAGTTTTCAATTACAGTTGGAGCCAACACTGAACAATTAATTTACTACTCAGTGTAGTGCATCACAGCAGATGAAACTGAAACCAAAATTCAGAATTCCAGGATTATATTCTGTTTTACAGATGAGTTCCATTCTGAGTCTCTGTGTAATGATTATTTTGGAGGCAAACCGTTTTTGTGCAAAATAAACAGGTTCCTACCATTCCTCACCACCTGCTTGACACTTGTAATAAGCCTACTGCAGAATCTGAGTCACTTCCAGGAGAAGAAACCAATAAAAAAGTCTAAACTCCAGGACAGTCGTAATAAAAATCATGAATTAAATAAATCTAAAATAAAAAAAAATGAATAACACTGTTAATAGTTTTTTTAATCAGACATGCTACACTAGAACATATAAGTTATAACCCTGAACAAAGCACCATAAATCAATACTCTTGATGTAGGTGTCATTTTATGCTTCTCAGGTTATATTTGTAAGACAAGGTTGAGCAGTTTTAGGCAACATATGAGATCCTCTCTTCTGTTCAACTGAAGTCACCAGATGTCAGAAGTCATAAATTACTTTTGACCCTTCATATATGTTGTAATGTATGTTATGTGACAGTCTGTTTCCTGAGCACAGTCTATAAGTAATTGTAAGAAATAAATGGTTTGAAATGAATGCAGAATTGTCTGTCCATCCTAATACCAGTGAAGTAGATTACCATAAAATCTCAGGTTTTGTTTTTCAGTCTTAGGGCGTCATTCTTAAATTTATCATTTCAATTTTTGATTTATCATCACATTTCTGCTCCTTAACAAATACATTTTAAACTAATAAATTTAAGTAAGCTTTTCCTAAATGGTGATTGAAAGAAATAGTTTTTTTTATATATTTTCTAAAATCATTTTTCATTTCTTGCCAGTTGGAGATCACATAGGATTGATTTCTTTTTATTGTACTTAACTTTCATTTATTTTGAAGTATACTGAAACTAATAATCTCACCAATGCTTTGTAGAAAAGCAATGTAATAAATGTTGTTGTAAACCAGTTTTCTTCAAATTTAAAAGGCCAAGGAAAGCTAAGTATACTATAATGAAGCATTAGACCCACAACAAGAGTATTGAAAGCGATATGATTTGTTGTGGTTTCAATGTCTGTCAGTATAGTTCTCAATTTCATCACATGTTCCATCAAGCAACTCAGACTGGCACTGTTTGTCAAGATTATTTCGTCTGCTGCTTTCAGCCATATCACCCTGCAACTCACAACTGGCAACCCACTGAAGCTAAGCAGGTGTGAGCCTGGTCAGTACCTGGATAAGAGACCGCCTGGGAAAAACTAAGGTTGCTGCTGGAAGAGGTGTTAGTGGGGCCAGCGGGGGGCACTCACCCTGCGGTCCATGTGGGTCCTAATGCCCCAGTATAGTGACGGGGACACTATACTGTAAACAGGTGCCGTCCTTTGGATGAGATGTAAAACCGAGGTCCTGACTCTCTGTGGTCAGAAAAAATC